CCCCGTCCGGTCCCTCGGGGTCTCTGCGGGGCCTCTACTGCTGCCCGGGGGGGGGGGTACTCTCGCGACCTCCTCGCGTTACCCCCTTCCTCTCCTTGGCGACCAGCCTTTTGAATCTCTCTGCCGGTGTATAGGCAAAAAGTGAAACCGCTCCGTTTTTGTGACGGTCACAGTTTCTGTCAAACAAACATGACATTCGGTATAACTGCTCAGGAATTGCTACCTTTGCTGGCTGGTTGCAAATTCAGAGGGACTGTGTTTTTTGGTAGAAAAATCTCTCAATTTGCTACCTCCTGTCTAACGGACTCAGGGGTCACAAATTCAGAGGGACTGTGTTTTTTGGTAGAAAAATCTCTCAATTTGCTACCTCCTAAAATGATACATTTATTATTAAATATTTGAGATTCAGGTGATGATAATGAGAACAAAAGAAATTTATAAAACAAAATCATAACATGGCTTCTAGAAACTAAACTGAATAGGATAGCCTTCTGTCTACAGAACTTTATTTCACTCCAAATGTCCTTTGTGGTGTTGCACCCAAGGTTACTTGTGACCCTGTTTTTCAGAATGCATGTTAGTGTTTTCACAAAAATTTTGCTCACACTGATGCAACTTGCCCCAGATGCCTTTTTAACTCCACCAGTGGTGTAGAGTTCAGGTTGAGATTGGTCAATGCAGTGTCAATGTGGACTCTGTTACTTACATCCACTATTAGTGGCCTCCAGAAGATGTCCCACAATCCTCGCCTTGATCACTCTGGTCACCATTTTGAAGTCTGCTGTCCATTGGTCAGTACACAGGAATCCACCTACTCCTTTTAAAGCCTGTGACTTTTTCAAATGTCATTTCCTGTTTTCCCAGGAATCCACCTATCCCTTTTAAGGCCCGTGACTTTTTCAAATGTCATTTCCTGTTTTCCCATAGAAAAATCTCACAATTTGCTACCTCCTTTTCCCAGTATGGAGAGGTCATATAGGAATTCTCGAGCACACTTAGCAACTGCCCAGCTGAGCATGACAGTTCCATGCTGCAAATATGCTCCTGCCTTGAGTATACAAGAAGTGTTGGATCTCCTGGGTAAATGGGAAGAAGAGGCTGTGCAGGCACAGCTCCAGTGCAAGCACAGCTCCAATCCAGCCATAGAAATGTCAACATCTTCCATGAACCAAGAGATCTGCTTGTAGAAGAGGGACTATCAGAGGAAGCAGGAACAGTGCCACATGAAAGGAACTGCAGCTGGTGAACCGGAAGGCAAAGAAAGCCAACAATTCTTCTGATTTGCAGCTGCAGATTTGCTGCTTTTACACAGAGCTGCATTCCATTCTCAGCTTATACCCCACCACCACCACCCAAACCCCCATGAATACTCAGGAAGAGTTACAGGCCTGTGAAGAGGAGGAATATGGGGGACAAGTGACCAGCTGTGCAGTGAGCCAAGACATGATTTATAGCCTTGCGCAGTCCAGCTAGTTTTTGCAGTCCAGGACAGACAAGCATGATACAGGGGAAGGAACCTTTGGTAAGTATGCTGTTTGCTTCGATATTGCAGGGATGAAACCTAGAAAGTATCTGGACTTACCTATTGATTTATTCATTTTTACTTATACTAGATGAGGTAGTGAAACAGCCAGTGGAGGTAGAGTTGCCATCTGCTTTTCAAACTCCAAGTGGAGTTCAGCAGAGGGAGCCCACTGGATTAGTTTATGTGCACTAGTTTGCCTTATGACTCATCTATAGAGATCTTGAGGAAACCTTCAGGGAGGTAGTCTGGAATTCTCTGTTGAAGGTTTCCAGGAGGACTGCCTTATTTTTTCTGCCACAATAGAATGCTTTCCTGTGACAATCAGTGAGTACTTCAGCAGGCATCACTGCAGCACATAGGCTAGAAGTATATGGTCCCAGTTGACATCTGGGTACCTGCAGGAGCTGTTGCCTTTCAACCTCTGTTAGCTTTGGGAATGAAGTATCAGCTAAAATCATGACAACCTGGGCTAGTATTCAGTACAGTTGCACAATAAGTATGTGCTCATGCCCATAACTTACCTCCTTCCCACAGGGTCATGTTCATGGTGGCATTCCAGCGATGGTGCTCTATCAATTCCAAATAAAAGTGAGAATGTATTTCTTGCAACTTGTCTGGAAAAAGGGGAGTGAATTCAGTATATCAGATTTCCATTTATCTTGTGAATACATTCACAATTGGACTGCTGTGCATTGTATCTTTTACAACTGGAAATGTGGCCTTGAGGTTCCGTCCATCCACATTAGCAAAGTGACTCAGCCAGATAACAAGGAGAATGAAGAGGACACAGGATGACATGTTCCTAGAGATCTTGCAAGCCTCTGCTACTTTGGATACTGAGCACTGGGCTTAAAGAATTACCCTTGTGGACCTGAGAGGAGAAACATCTGGGAAATGGTCAGGGAAGTGCAGCGAGAAATGTAGATGCTTCTCCAGCAGTAAAGAACATGCTACAGACTCTTGTTGACCTTCAGGTTCAATAGTACCATGCTCACCTCCCTCTTCAGCCCATAGAAATCTACATTCTGGAACTTCTCTACACTAATTCACTTGCTCATCAGCCCCCACAAACGTCCACCTGGTGTCTGGATCCAGTGCACTACCTTTACCACTCTACCCTGAGTGAGAGTGTAGGCAATCACAGCTGCACGTGCATTGTTCTGTGAAATGGAAATGGCCTTTCTTTCCCTTACAAAAGTTCTTTTCAGTATTACTTATTAAACTTTATGTAGTCATAAATGTGTCTGTATGCATGGCTGTGGAATAAATTCTATTTACAGATTCTTAATCTTTATTCGTTCATAACATAAACTAGCTGGGGCTGATATTCACAAGTAGTAATAGGTGCATTTGCAATGTTACATTACTACACACACTGCAGTTATTACAAGATTCATAATATAGCCTCTTTGAGCTAAACAAGTCAATGTTGAGCTCTTCTGATATCTGGCTGCTCAAAATCATCAGGTTCCACTTCTTCCCTTCACCTCTACAGAAACTTTTTTCCTTTTACTTCATAGATGTTATGCAGCACACAGCTATAGTCAGACTCATTGGGATATTTTTGTCATTGAAGTCCAATCTCTTGAGTAGACAGTGCCAACAATCTTTTAAACATCCAGAGGCATAATCAATCAATGGATTTCTCAACTCCAAATTGATTCCTGACCGACTGGTAGCAATAAAGTGTTTCAAGTTTCTGTAGAGCAGTCTACTTGCTTCTCCATGTCAGTGCAGATTACATTTTGGTGTTGCTACTCCGGAGGGCACTGCTTGTCATTTTGGACCAGAAGCAGTTCTCCACCATCTGCAGTTGCTCCATGAATGCCCCCTTCAACTTTGAATTGTTTCTTTCTATATTCCACAGCAGTCTAGCTTCCAAGGAATCATTATATTGCCTGTGGCTCCCCTGCTGGTTCTGTAAATACTGTAGTATCAGGTGCCCCATGCTTGCAGTGCTCATCACAGTAGTGCAGGATCCATACCTCTGATACAGATGATGGACAATTAAGAGGGATGTGTGGGTTTGTGGAAAATTAGAAAAGAGGTGTGAAACATTATGGGATAAAGATGAAATTATAGGATGGTGACTACTACAGTTTGGAATGTTGAAATCATGCTTTCAGTCACTATGACCAATTTTTTGGGGCCCTTTGAGGCATTGCAAAACCTCATGAAAACACCCTGTGCTAGATGATAAGTTGCACAGTGTAATTGCTATCCACAGTGAATTGCTTTCTGTATCAGTGTAGGTACTGCTAGCAAGGACACATGTCGCTGACACAAGTAGTGTAGTTTGGACATGTAAAAGCAATTTTAATTACTGTGACAGTTTTATGCTGCTGTAACCCAGGTCCACATAATTCTGTAGTTTTGACATGACGTTGGTCTTCCAGTATATGAGACTAGCTCCCTTGCATGCAGCATTTCTAAGATGTAATAGGACCATTCATTAATTATTTGTGTCACAACGTTCCTTAATGCCTCTTTCATGTTAGTAGGTCTTGTAGAAGCTATTTTATGTTTAGCTAGAAGCCATTAAGGAGCGTGTTTTTGCTTCAACAGTCTTCTTAATGGGTGAGAGAAATTATTCCAATGCTGGGCTTCCTAAGCTCAAAGCAAACATTTTCAAAGTTGCAAAGCAAAGCACACACATTTCCTTAGAGCACTGTTTCTCAAACGGGGCTCCACAGAGCCCCAGGGCTCCACAAGACATCTCCAGGGGCTTCGCGAGGTTGACAAACTGGAAACATCGATAGGTACAACACATACAATCAGTGGACCACTGGGGCTCTGCATAAATTTTTATGCACGTAAAGGGCTCCGGAGCCCAAAAAGTTTGAGAACCGCTGCCTTAAAGCATGGAATACAGACATTGCAAGTGAGATTAATGCACACAGTAACTTACAAGAATTTCATGGTCTAAAGGCTGAATACATTCTTAAAACTAATACCTAATTAGAATAAAACAAACCAGCTCTCCTGTATGTTAGGTTTCCAGTTATGAGATTGTTAGTTCTTAGCTACTGCTTATGGCCTTGCTCAGAGCTGGTGCTTGGTTTTCCAGCATCAGAACAGTTTTGAGGTACTTATCAGTGTGTAAATACATAGGATCTATTTATATATTTCACAATGCTGTTAATGACTGGTGGGACTCTAGCTTTCATGTAAAGTCTAATACTCTTTAGTGAATCAGGTATCAGAGGGGTAGCCGTGTTAGTCTGAATCTGCAAAAGTGGCGAGGAGTCCTGTGGCACCTTATAGACTAACTGAAGTGTTGGAGCATAAGCTTTCGTGGGCAAAGACCCACTTTGTCAGATACATGTATAGTTAGTCTATAAGGTGCCACAGAACTCCTCGTCGCTTTTAGTGAATCAGATTATACATACCGGGATATTCTTGTAACCCCTTGCCAGTTGGCACTTAGAGTCACAAAATGTTTTATTATTTATGATAATTAAAGCTTCATGAAGGTTGTGGGCTGTGATATTGTAGCAGGAACTACAATTTTTAAGACACACCTTAACTTGGTGTAGTTGTCACAAATTTAAATGGAATTGTTACCTTGTGTGCCAACTTATAATGCCACAAACTTGAATTTGGCAAAGGCTAAATTCAAGTGAGTGACATTTGTGATTCTCAGCTTTGGTCTGTCTACCTGTCTAATGAGGTAGTTGGACCAAGTTTGAGTGAGTGATGTCACAGCCTAGCACATGGTGTTGCAACACCACTCAAATTTGAACTGACTGTACCAAAATCGTAGCTATTTCAAACAGTGGCTGCGACTTTTGAACAATAGAAGTCACAACTTTCCTACAGGCTTAATGCTGATTCGTGAGCGAGAAAAGGCACAACTTTACTTTCTGATCCAAGGTTAACAGTTAGAATAGATGAGACAGTGTTTTAGTGGATCAACTTCTGCTGATGAAAGAGGCAAGCTTTCAGGCTACACTGAGCTTTTCTTCAACTCTGCATAGTTCAAAAACTTCTCTTTCACCTAGGCTTTGTCTACACTGCAGGGTTTTTGCACAAGAAGCTTTTTGCAGAAGAAATCTTTTACAAAACTTCTTGCACAAAAGCGCATTGCAAAAGCAATGTGCTTTTACTCAAGAGAGCGTCTGCACTGCATGGACGCTTTTGCACAAGAAAGCTCTGGTTGCCATTAACAGAATGGCCCCATCAGAGCACTTGTGCTTTTTCTGATAGACTCTTTTTGTGCAAGAAATCCCTGCAGAGCGTCCACACGCATCTTTTTGTGCAAGAGCTGTAGCGCAAAAAGGAGTTATTCCTGGTGGGGAGAGGAATATCTACCGGCAAAAGCCCTCTGTCCTGTTGATTTACTGTATTTTTTTTATTTTGCATGAAAAAGTGCTTGAGGTGTGGATGCTCCACCTGTTTTTGCACAAAAAGTGACCGTTTTTGTACAAAAACCTTTTAGTGTAGACATAGCTCTAGGGTACATCTATGCTGCAATGCTATTTTGGGATACCAGAGTATCCTGAAATAGCTATCCCACCTCTTCACAGCAAGCCCATTATTTTGGGCTTGTTATTCCGATGTCCCCGTAAACCTCATTCTGTGAAGAGTAAGAGACGTTTTGGAATAATGCTTTATTTGAAATTTGGTGCTGTGTAGACAGAGCCAAATGACAAAATAAGCTATTTCGAAATATCAAAATAAGATATGCAATTTGCATAACTCAAATTGCATATCTTATTTTGAGTTATAGTGACTTGTAGACCTGTCCTAACAGAGGTTGATTCAATAAAAGATGTTACCTTACCCATCTTATCTCTCTAATATTCTGGGATAAACAAGGCTACAACTAACATTGCAAACAAGTTAGAATAAATGTAATTGTATTTGTAAACTGAGCACACTTGGGAGATCTCAGCTAAGTGGAAATCCTGATTAAGCACATCCTGGCCAAGGGGAGAGCTCTGTAGTAAGTGGAATATGATTAAGAGATGTTTCAAGTGCCATTATTTAATTATCTCATTAAACAAATTCTAGTGTAAGTATAGTGTTTGCCTCTACCATGAAAATATTAATATTTGAAATCAACTTTTAATTTTAGGACAAGGAGTGTGTATAACGTTGTATCAGTGTCTGGGAATCAGGATGCCAGAGTTCAATTACTGCATTTACTTGCTGTAAGGTTTTCAGCAATTCATTTTACCACTTTGTGCCTCAGTTCACGCATCTGTAAAATTAGGGTAATACCTATGTGCCTCACGGAGATGTTGTAAACTTTTTTGTGTGAAATACTTGGAGATCCTTGGATAGAAGCAGCTGCAGAACTTCAAAATCTGGTTTGATGTCACTGTTGATGGCACTCATATAAAACAAAAGAAAGTATTTAAAAAAGGTTCATGCTTCTGTGGAAATTGTTAATTTACATAATTTTTAGGTTTCTTCACCAGTTGATCATAAAGAAGACAATTCAAGGAACAGTAGTATAAAGGATGATAAAGATGATGATAGTGAGAAGAATGAAATGAAGAATATGAAAACATCTCCACAGTATTCTGAGGGTGAAATTAACTGCATTTTCCAGCATCAGGTGCAAAATACTGATGAGTATCCAGGTATGAGATTGACAAAGTTTACGTCATTGGCCAGCAGTGTACTGTTATATAACGTGTAACGGGTAAAATTTTAGTGGGTAAAATTCTACTCTTGGATCTGCAAATGGGGACTGTATGCCTGCATCTACACGCAGCAGTGAAACAGGAGTTCGAAGTAAACCCCTAACTCGAATTAGCTGTTACTCCTCTTCGAATGGGGTTTACTTGGAACTCCCGGGTAGTTATTCCGGGCTAGTCAGTTTCCAAAATGGCGACCGCCCGGAAACATGCTAATGAAGCACGGGATGTTTAAATCCCACGCTTCATTTGCAATTTCGGTCGCCCTCATTAGCCTCCCTCGAACTAAGGGGCTAGTGTAGATGTACCCCTAGTTCTTCAAGCAAGTGGACTTGAACACATTCCTGTAAAGCAAGAGGGAATTTTAGTGAGGAATGCTGCAGATAACTATCTTACCAGATCCTTAAATTTATTTTCAATTTAGAAAAGAAGACCAGACCTATTGCTTACTGATATATGTAATTCTTCATCGAGTGTTGTCCCTGTGGGTGCTCCACTCAGGTCTCGGTGTGTGCCTGCGCCGGGGATCAGAGATTTTTGGTAGCAGCGCCCCTTGCGCCGCGCCTGCGCATACAGCAGCCCTTCTGCCCCGGAGCCTGTGGAATGCGCACGCGGTGCGAGTCCTGTCAGTTCCTTTTCAACCGTCCCTGGCTGAAGACGAAGTTCACAGCAATGCTCTTCTTCCTGACAGGAAAAATTGAAATCCCCTATTATTTTTAACTCTTTACCTCCTAATTTTGTTTAGTTTGACCTTTTTCAACGTTGACTTTGCTAAAAAGCAAAAAAAAAAGTGACAGCCGCCACAGCTTTTCTTCACCGCAACAATGCGATTCCTGCAGAGACCCAATGTCTATCTCAGATGGCCAAGCCTCATGTGTCAAATGCCTGGGGGAGTCTCATGTGGTACAGAAATGCCCTCATTACTTGAATAGGACGGCAAGAGCAAGAAAAGACCACAAAACATGGCTCAACATTATTATCTGGGCAAAGTCCTTCAATTATCAAGGGACAAACCAGAGCAGGTGCTGACACAGCAAAAGCCGTCTGGTAGGGCAGCTTCATCATCCCGCAAAGGCTCTCAAGCTGCAAGGGTTTCCCTGGCACACTCCCTGTCCGAGCTGTCAAGCCGCAAGGGTTTCCCTGGCACACTCCCTGTCCGAGCTGTCTAGAGCCTTTCGTTCCCCGGTGCCATCAGTCTCTGGTACTGTGGAGAAACGCAAGTCTGTGCCGTCCAGAAGTGCCCTCATTGGCTGTATATGAAGGCGAGGGCCAGAAAAGACCGTGAAATGCGGCTCAAGACTATTCTCTGGGAAAAGGCTCTTCAATTACCAAGGGACAAACAAGAGCAGGTGCGGGCATAGCGAAAACCCTTGGGTAGAATAGCTTCATCACCCCACAACGGCTCTCAAGCCGCAAGGGTTTCTCTGGTGCACTCCCTGTCCAAGCTGCCTTGAGCCTCTCATCCCCCGGTGCCATCAGTCTTTGGTACCGCAGAGAAATGCAGATTAGTGCCAGCCAGGAAAGTTGAGGCACAAACTAAAACCGTCACATCAACTGGTGCCACTGAGGTAGCAGCTTCAGATAAGCCGTATATGCCTCCTCCATCAGCTCCAGTGAGCTCCCCCTCTGCACCCAGTCTGACTGGGCAGAGTGATTTTGACCGCCCCATGGCACTGCAGTACAAGAAAGCACGGCACCTACAAAACTCTCCTTAGTCTGATTCAAGGGGCGCACTAACACTTCACAGAGTGGCCCCCAGTCGCCTACACTGCTATCCCCAATATCTGATTATGGTAGCAGGCATAGGAGCAACCTCTCATCATGCTACTCCTCTCCTTCTCCATTGCTAGCTTCCTGGTATTCATACAGGGCAGCTCCCACCTCAGTGGAGCTGCTGGGATACAGGGTAAGAGTACCAACAGCTGTCCTCCTATACCTAACATTCAAGGCACACAGCCTCTACATCCCAGCAATTCTGCACCTCGAGGCACTCACCCACAACCTCTGCATGCTCCTCACCTGCTCACCTGCCCTCGGTAATTTCTCAGGCGGGTTCCAGTGAGCATGACAACTTACCTCAGTCAGATTCAGAGGGTGTGTCTAGACTACAGAGTTTTGTCGACAAAAGTCCACTTTTGTCGACAAAACTATACCTGCGTCTACACTACTGCTGAGTTCTGTCGACATAACGTCGACAGAACTCAGCAGTTTTGTCGATGCTGGTAAACCTCATTTTACGAGGCATAACGCCTTCTGTCGACAGAGTTCTGTCGACAGAAGGTGTTATTGCCTGTAGGGTTGTGTCTAGACTACAGGGTTTTGTCGACAAAGCAGCTTGCTTTGTTGACAGAACTGAATGTAGTCTAGATGCTCTTTGTCGACAGAAGCTACTGTCGACAAAACTTCTGTCGACAAAACCCTGTAGTCTAGACGTACCCAGAGAGTCCCTGACATGAACCTAGATCCAGGCAGGAGAAAGCAGTATTCCAGATCTCGCCTTCTCCTCCGGCACATGACCTGAAACATTTTTAGGAACTTTTCAAACAAGTAGCACAACCATAGGACATTACATTACAAGAGGTGCAGGACAAACAATACAAATTACTCACCATATTACAACCCTCAGAATCCTTGAAAATAGCTTTACCCATCAACGAAGCTATCCTTGAACCTTCGGATGCTTTTTAGCAAAATCCAGCCTCTGTTCTGCCCACAAACCAGAGAGAAGATAGAACAGCGGACAAAAAATATTTCATCCCTGCAAATGACATGGACTTTCCATTTGCCCACCTTCAAACAAATTCGCTGGTGGTGACTCTGTGAAACACAATTTAAATCTATGCCCCGTGACAAAGAACACAAACGGCTAGACACCTTGGGCCGCAAAGTGTGCTCTTTGGCCACACTTCAGGGCTGAATATCTTAATTATACAGCACTGTTGGCTAATTACAATCATGCCAATTATGCCAAATTACAAGACTTGCTACAGGACATTCTTGAAAACAAGCAACTTCACCTCTAAACCAGGGTTTATCAATAGCTAAAATAGCTCTTCGGGCCAGTATGGATGTCACAGACACCGCAGCTAGAGCCACAGCCACAGACATAGTAATGCACAGGACCTTGTGGCTGTAGTTATAAGGGGTACCAAAGGAATTACAAGCAAGGGTGGAGGATCTCCCCTTTGACAGGAAACAGTTGTTTGCTAAAAATATAGATGAGATCCTATACGTCTTGAAAACAAGCAACTTCACCTCTAAACCAGGGTTTATCAATAGCTAAAATAGCTCTTCGGGCCAGTATGGATGTCACAGACACCGCAGCTAGAGCCACAGCCACAGACATAGTAATGCGCAGGACCTTGTGGCTGCAGTTATAAGGGGTACCAAAGGAATTACAAGCAAGGGTGGAGGATCTCCCCTTTGACAGGAAACAGTTGTTTGCTAAAAATATAGATGAGATCCTATACGCTATGAAGGACTCTCATACGACACTATGCACCTTGGGCATGTACATCCCTCCCAATAAGAAGCATAAATACACTTCCTACCAAAAAAAGAGGGATTATAATTACAACTATTACAGGCAGCAGCAGAGACCATATGATAACAGGCTCAAGCAATGCCCTAGTAGGAAGAGGAATCAGCAAAACCAGTCCTCCACAAATCAATCCACCTCTAACAAGCAGCAAATTTGAAATTTTGGTCGGCGGTCTGAGCGATCACCTCATAAGTCCAGTTCAGTCCAATGTCATCTTTGGTCATTGCCGGAGACCTTTCTGCCAACAGTGGGCGCAAATTACCACAGACAAATGGGTCCTAGAAATTATCAGATCATGTTGTATAATCCCCTTTACTTCAGTGCCCCACATGCAACCCCCTACCCTGTCCCTCTTCAGGGACCCCTCTCATGAGCCTCTGTTATGGGCAGAGGTGCAAAAGCTACTTACCTAAGTAGCAATAGATCATTATCAATACACAGTCCTCTCCTTTGGCCTCTCTACGGCCCCTCAAGTATTTGCAAACACCCTAGCTGTAGTCACGGCCTTTCTCAGAAGACAAAACATTATCTTACCTTACCTAGATGATTGTCTAAGCAAAGGCCCTACCTATCAGCAAACTACTGTCATGACAACTATTACCAGGGAATGTTTTTCCCGACTTGGTAAAAGATAAGAGTTCATTGGCGCCTTGCTAGACTCAGTCACAGCAAGAGCCTGCCTCCCACCACAAAGATTTAGGATGATCTGCGACTTCGTTCAACGGGTCAGACAGGCCCCTTTCTCCACGGTCCGGGCATGCCTTAGTTACTGGGGCATATGACAACGTTTCTGGTCTTGTTTGCAAGGCTGCACTTGCGTTGCCTACAAAATTGGTTCGCAATCAACTATATACCAACCCGACACAGCCTTGCAAAGCACCTCTCACTTCCTCCACCAGTCCTGCAGTCCCTCCAATGGTGGACATCTCTGAACAACCTCCTCATACTCTTCCACTGACCAGGCCCTTCAGTTACTATAACAACAGATGCATCACTCATGGGCTGGGGAGCCCACTGTGGTGCAGTGTCAATACAGAATACATGGGCCCCACACGAGAGAAACTTTCACATTAATATTCTAGAGCTCAGGGCCATTCTCAGGTCTTGCACCCATTTCTTGTATCCGCTGCCTCGGCGAAAGCCATGTACTGCAAAAATGCGTGTACTGTTCAAAACTCACGGTTAGGCCTTGCTGTGATCATGAAATGAGGCTCTGCATTCTTCTTTTTGATGAGGTGCTTCAGCCTGCTGGTTCAGCCTCTCCTTCTCGGCCCGTTCTGTAACCACAGAAACGGAGTGCCTCCTCTTCGACTAGGGCTCCTCATAAGAAGCCTAGGCCCTCCCCAAATAGATTGCTGCCTTTAACTTCTCATGGCAGAACTACTTCAGGGTCTTCTCATGGCAGAACTACTTCAGGGTCTAAGTCGGGCACTTTTGCTACAAGTGCCTGTTCAGTTTCTAAGGCATCTAAAAGCATGTCTGGTGCTTCCCGCCACATGGCTGCAACTTCTCCAGTGACGGAACCGGCGGTGGTGGCACTGAAGTCATTGGCACTGACTCTGCCGACGTAACTACAGGCACAGTCGGGCCGCCTCTACTTCCTCTAACTCAAGCTTGGCACCAGAGGAGCTGCCAACCTCAGCACGGGAGCATATGACTGATGGGTCATATGGCCTCCACAACATACGTCATCCTTCACTCCAGACTACACTTTTGGCTGCTACAGCACTGGCTGATCACACTATACAATCCTATCAAGCACAACGTACACAAGGGAGTGACCGTCAGATTTTCTCTCCACTGGTGGATGGTAGATGACAATTTACTGTCAGGCATCTCGTTTCATCAACTGCCGCCTCGTCACATTTCCACAGATTCCTCCCTCATTGGCAGGGGCGCTCATATGGGCAATCTTTCCGTCCAAGGCTGTTGGTCGCCACAGGAGTCTTTACTACATAGAAATCTCCTGGAACTGAGGGCTGTTGCCAACACCTGCAGACATTTTCGCACACACCTCCGCAACTCCACAGTGGGTGTCTTCACAGACAACATAGAGACCATATATTATATAAATTGCCAGGGCGGTGTACGATCCCGATCACAGTGTACGGAAGCAACCCAACTATGGAATTGGTGCATTGCCAACGGCACTACTCTTATGACGTCCTATTTACCTGGCATCAACAACATGATGCGATGGCAGATTCCCTCAAAGGAATTTCCCAATACACCACGAATGGGAAATCGATCGGGATGTCCTCCATTCGATCTTCCGTCGCTGGGGCACACAGAGAATAGACATATTCGCTACTGCCAGCAACAGGAAATGTCACCATTTCTGTTCCAGAATGGGCCTAGGTCACCAATCCTTGGGAGACACCTTCTTCCTCAATTGGAAAGGTCCTGCCATGTATGCTTTTCCACCTATCCCTCTTATCTTCAGAGTCCTACAGAAGATCAAACTTGACAGAGCCTCGGTAATTCTGATAGCGCCCGAGTGGGCACTTCAACATTGATATCCTCTTGCAACTCGCACGATTCCCACCATATCACCTCCCACTAATCCAGAACCTCCTAACCCAGAAGCGAGGTTCTTCCCTGTACCGGCAGCTGCGCACACTTCATCTCTTAGCATGTTACCTAGTTGGCTAAACATCCTCCTAACCCAAAAGTGAGGTTCTCTCCTGCACCTGCACACACTTCATCTCTCAGCGTGGTACCTAGTTGGCTAAATGCCTCCAAGGCCATATGCACTGACCGTGTCAAGGTAGTTCTTATACACAATGGCTGCGTCTAGACTGGCATTATTTTCCGCAAATGCTTTTATTGGAAAAGTTTTTCCGTTAAAAGCATTTGCGAAAAAGAGCATCTAGATTGGCACAGACGCTTTTGCGCAAAAGCACTTTTTGCAGAAAAGCGTCCATGCCAATCTAGACGCGGTTTTGTGCAAGAAAGCTCTGATCGTCATTTTCACCATCGGGGCAAAACAGTTTTTACCTGTCTACACTGGCCCTCTTGCGCAAAAGCATTTGCGCAAGAGGGCTTATCCCTGAGTGGGAGCATCATAGTATTTGCGCAAGAACACTGATAATCTTACATTAGATCGTCAGTGTTCTTGTGCAAATTCAAGTGGCCAGTGTAGACAGCTGGTAAGTTTTTCCACAAAAGCAACTGCTTTTGCGGAAAAACTTGCCAGTCTAGATGCAGCCAGTAGGAAACAGATAGGAGTACAGATAGTTCGGAATGGCTACGTAGTTCGAACTATCTAGCCCGTGCCGCGTGTAGCCGCGCGGCACGGGGTTCGCACTAGCCGGCTTTTAAAAATGGCGGAGCCGGCTTTATGCTAATGAAGCCCGGGAAATTCAAATCCCGGGCTTCATTAGCAAGTTCGGTATGCATACATTACCCCGCTAGTTCGAACTAGCGGGGTAGTGTAGACATACCCTCTGATATATGTAGGGTTGCCACTTGGTCATCCTATCTCACGTTTGCCAAGCACTATGCTATCCAAACAAGATGGCTTTCAGATATTTCCGTAGCATCTGCAGTGCTTTCTTCCTTACATAGGGACTTGTGAATTCCATCTCCTTTCCTCGGGTGGGTACTGCTACTTAGCCACCTATTGTGGAGCACTCACGGGGACATCACTTGAAGAAGAAAGCGAAGTTATTCACCTTGGTGCAGTAACTGTCGTTCTTTGAGATGTGTCCCCGTGGGTGCTCCACTACCCACCTGCCTACCCGCTTCGGAGTCTGTTTCATTCTCTTGCAGATTCTGAGACGGGTCCGAGAAACTGGATAAGACCAGATCGTGCAGTGCAGGAGAGCGTGAACACCGTGAGACACCCCTTCCTGCTCTGCATGCATGGTCCAACTGACTACGGCTTCGAACATCTCCGTCCTGCGACTCTGGGGCAAGCCCAGCACCTATTGTGGAGCATCCATGGGGACACACATCTTGAAGAATGACAGTTACTGCACCAAGGTGAGTAACTTCGCTTTTCTGTACAGCGCTTATCCAAGTGGATTGCGGGCTGCATATACACCCTATATGAACTTAAGGGCAGACAGCCACCGCAATCCATCAGGGCTCATTCCACATATGCGATGGCCACTACAATGGTCTTCCTGAACAATGTACCATTGGCAGACATTTGTAGAGCAGCCATATGGTCCTCACACCATACTTTCACTCAACACTATGCCCTACACAAGGGGCCAATACCCTCCACATCTTTAGCAGATGCAGTCCTTCCTTCTTCCACATAGGAAGACTCCAATGCCCATCTCCATTGGGCGGGTACTGCTATGGAGTCACCTGAGTGGAGCACCCACAGGGAAACCACTTGATGAAGAAGAAGTTACTCACCCTGTGCAGTAATGTTGGTTCTTCGAGATGTGTGTCCCTGTGGGTGCTCCACTAACCTCCTGTCCTCCCTTCTGCCAGGGACTTTAGGTAGAAAAGGAACATATGGGACTCATTCCACAGGCTCCGGGAAGGGGGGAAGGAGCTGCTGTGCTCACAGGTGTGGCGCGAGGGGCGCTGCTACCAAAAATCTCCGATCCCCGGCACAGGCACGCACCGAGACCTGAGTGGAGCACCCACAGGGAGACGCATCTCAAAGAGCCAACATTACTGCACAGGATGAGTAACTTCTTCTCTTTTGGCATCAATTGTTAGTGAATCCTGTTTCATTTTGAAATAATGGTAATTTCTTAAAGAATATTATTTTTTCTTCCCTAGGCTGCTTTTTTTCAGGTCAAATGTCAAAATCTACCTGTGTGTCCTATCTTTTGGAACCATAACTTTTTGTTGAGCAGGTAGAGGAACATATTGAAACTTTAGATGCTTTGCAGCATTTTTAAAATTGAGCTGTTTAAAATCTTTTTGGTCTGAAAAGATTCAATCAAAAAAAATCAGGGCACATTTTAGTTGTCAGTGAGATTTATCTCAAAATCTGTAAGAATGAGAATTGTTTGTGATTTTTTTGGAATTCTTGCCTTATAATGGGATTGTGGTTACAACTGTTGCTATGGATAAGCCACTACTGCCTTAGAATAAATATTACTTAGCTGCCAAACAAGAATTCTGGTCTGAGGTGTCCAGAAATACAAACCTCTACCGCTTAGCTTATGGAAGAATTCTGTTAGACCTGCATATTTCTTTCCTGCTGTAATCGACCAATGGAAAGCAACATGTGCGAGTGAATTGTCCTATTGCAATATAAGTTGCTGCCAGATAATTACTGTTGGCTTGTAATTTTTTTTAAATTAAATGCTTGAAGCTCACATTCTATTTTATATGTAATCTACAGCAAATTCTACTGATCTAGAAAATACTGAAGAGAAAGATGTAGATTCTATGATTCAAGAAGCGATAAAGAAGATGAATAAATTGGATAAGATACTGGCAAAGAAACAATCTAGAGAAAGAGAAATTAAAAAACAAGGCAGAGAAGTGAGGGCAAAACTTTGGGAAGAACTTAAGGTTAGAAATGTGTGTTTTTTAAATATATGCCAATATTTGAGAGTGCTGTTATGTGGAAAGGAACAGTCTAGTTTCAAGAACATACTTTATTATTCAGTAGTCATTGCCTGGTGAAGGATACTAACACAAAAGGGAACTGAAAGAACCATACGTTATTATAATCCCCTTCTTATTACCCCCTCCAAGTCTTGGTTCTCAGCTATGATTTCGGGAATGTTTGCACTTACACCCTCTTTCGAGAGAGGGATGCAAATGAAGACATTCAAAATTGCAAATGCAGCTGGGATTTAAATATCCTGTCCTTCATTTGCATATTCACATTATGGCGCTATTTCGAGTGGGGGAGCCCCTTTGCTCCCCCTTCCCACTAAGTACCCATTCACCTGGCTGGGCAGGAAGAGGCTTCATATACTCCCCACCCCCAGGCCCCGATTGGCCTGGGGGCGGGGGAGCATACAGAGCCTCCTCCCACCCTACCCCTGCCCTGTGAGCAGCACACAGCACTGCAAAGTGCCATGCGCTGCTCGCAGGGAAGGAAGAGACGTTACGCACTCCCCTGCCCCCAAGTCCTGATTGGCCTGGGGGCGGGGGAGCTGTGCGAAGCTTCCCTTGCCCTGCTCCTGCCCTATGCAAGCATACTGCACATTGAGCATGATGTCTCCTTCCACCTTGCGAGCAGTGCGCAGCGCTTCAAAGCTATGTGTACTGCTCACAGGGTGGGAGGAAGCTTCGCCCGCCCCTAAGCCCTAATTGGAAGATGATAAGCACTGACTTAGCATCTCAGAGAAAATTCAAAAATGATTTCAGTGTCTCTCTTGAGGCTTAGATATTGGTGTTGCAAGGGACACACCTTAGGGCTAAGTCAGACTGTCAGCTGAAGCAAAGTATGTTCTTTGGTGTATTCTGACCATGAGGCTAATGCCAATGCTTTTTGTAATGACCAGTCAGCAACTTTAGATGTATTATAATATAAAAAACCCATGATAATTTGTCATTACCATTACATATTTATTCCTGAGGACCCAACACTCTTATCAATACTTAGGTAATATGCAGATTCGTCTAATGAATTTAATCTGTGTATAGGATCTTCAAGTCCTCACAAAGCTACTTTTGAGCTTCTTGGTCGGTAGGTATCTTCTTCTCCCTGAAAGTATCTTGCATTCTCATCACCTGGTACAAGGGGGTTTCAGTACATAGCATGCTTTCAGTGAAAGCTCAGTTACATATTCTGTCAAACATGGTCATTCTGTGAACTTAGCTGGCCTGCATCCCCAAGGTCAACATAATTTCCCTCATTCAATAGGAAGTGGCATTATACCTCTCTACTTCCTTTGCATTCAAAAAGGACTATAAGTTAGATGTGAACAGAACCGACAGAGGAACAGAGGTAATTATAACAAAGACTTTCAAAGCCTCTGATGCAACTTCTCTCACTACTGTACATTCTGTGAAGAGAGCAAAATTTTTGTTGGCAGAGAAATTACACATCTTATGAAGATGTCTGATAGAGCTGGCGAAAACTCTGGGGTATTTTGCAATTTGTTTTTGGTCTGATTCAGAGCAAAAACATATTCTATGGAAATTTCTTCCAAAACAAAGACTCTAAAAATTTATTTTCAGAAACATAAAATATGATGTTCTTGAAAGGAACTGTATGAAATTAACATGTTTTGTTTCACCATAGCAGTGGTGAAGCTGACAAGAATGTCAGATTCCTTCAATGGCTGCTTAGGCTCTGTAGCACAGAGTCAGCTGTGTCTAGCAGAGTGTCCTCCCAGTCTCCAGACAACTGTTTATCAGTGTTTTTGCCCCGTCGGTTCCAGATCTCTCTATACTTCGTGTATCAGGCCATTTCTGGTATGGAGCATGATTACTTGCTCTGTGGCAATGGCGCCATGCACTGGCCAATCACATGTAAGACCTGTGAAGGAATAAGTGCACACATAATCTTTGGAGATTCTAGCTGCAATTATATTTAGTCAAGATAGGTGAATAGGGTCTTGTATTGCTACCAGTCCTGCCTATAATATGTATAAAATTAGTTTTGAAACGGTAAAGCAGTATATGCAATATCAGTTATACTGCAAGTTTACCAGGATTCAAATTTATGTATGTATAAAACTGCATAATTACTATTGTAGAATCATAGAACACTAGAACTGGAAGGGACCTCAAGAGGTCATCTAGTCTAGTCCCGTGCCCTCACTGCAGGACCCAGTACCTTCTAGACCATCCCAGATAGATGTCTATCTAACCTGCTCTTAAATATCTCCAGAGATGGAGATTCCACAACCTCCCTTGACAACTTATTCCAGTGTTTAACTACTCTTGACAGTTAGGAATTTTTTCCTAATGTCGAACCTAAACGTCCCTTGCTGAATTTTAAGCCCATTGCTTCTTGTCCTGTCCTCAGAGGTTAAGGAGAACAATTTTTCTTCTTTCTCCTTGTGGCACCCTTTTAGATACCTGAAAACCGCTATCATGTCACCTCTCAGTCTTCTCCTTTCCAGTTCTTTCAACCTTCCTTCATAGGACATGTTCTCTAGACCTTTAATCATTCTTGTTGCTCTTCTCTGGACCTTCTCCAATTTCTCCACATCTTTCTTGAAATGTGGGGCCTAAAACTGGACACAATACTCCAAATGAGGCCTAATCTGCACAGAGTAGAGTGGAAGAATGACTTCTCGTGTCTTGCTTACAACACTCCTGTTAATGCATCCCAGAATCATGTTTGCTTTTTTTGCAACAGCATCACACTGTTGATTCATATTTAGCTTGAGATCCCCTATGACTATGCAGTGCTCATTCCTAGATAGTTGCTTCCCATTCTGTATGTTTGACATGGATTGTTCTTTCCAAAGTGGAGTACTTTGCATTTGTCCTTATTAAACTTCATCCTATTTATCTCAGACCATTTCTCCAGTTTCTCCAGATCATTTTGAATGACGATCCTTTCCTCCAAAGTAGCTGCATCCCCTCCCAGCTTGGTATCATCTGCAAACTTAATAAGCGTACCCTCTATGCCAATATCCAAATAATTGATGAAGACATTGAACAGAACCGGTCCCAAAACAGACTGCTGCAGAACCTCACTTGTTATACTCTTCCAGTAGGACTTATCCAACCAATTATGCACCCACCTTATAGTAGAGACTTATCCAACCAGTTATGCACCCACCTTATAGTAGCCCCATCTAAGTTGTATTTGCCTAGTTTATTGATAAGAAGATCATGCAAGACTGTATTAAATGCCTATATAAATAAGGTGCAATAATTATATGAGTATACATAGCTTAAACGTGTGCTACTTCCAAAAAAGGTCAGCAGTAGCAAGTAATTCAAATCACCTAAAAAGTACAAAAAAAAGTAAAAAAATAATATATACCCCCAAAAGCTTTATTGACAAAAAAGGTTTTTAGTATGTGCGCTGAAGTTTATTAGGCTTGGGCCTCTGACAGAGCATCAGGAAAAGTATTTTACTGATTCTAACCTGATCATATATTTGCTGCTGTCTTATATTTTCATGTTTTCCTTCTTTTAAATAGTCTATAACCTCACTAAGTGCTTCAGGAACTCAAGAGGAAATAGAAAATACAAACAAATTTTTAGCTTTGACTTCCTCTTTGCAGGAGATAGCTGGTAAGTAAGTAAAATAGGTAAATTATAAATATCTTATAGATATTTATAAAAACTTACATTTTGATTATAGCTGTATTTCTGTAAAATTCTAAGATATCTCTCATATTAGAACAGAATAAAATGTTTTCCTTAACAAGTACAGTTTTAAACTTTTATCAATAAAATAGTCCTTGCATGTAAAAATTTGTGAAGACAATTTTTTTATACCTTAGACTGAGTAAAGCGTATTTTTGCTGCTGTACATGCTTTCACAAGGTAGTATTGCTTTACAGATTTTTGTTTGTAATGTTTCATATGACCGAGTAGCCTTGAAGGTTTGAGTAAGTAGAAGAAAAGAAGGAGGAATGTAAATAACTTATATCTGTGATAGTTAAATCAGGGCTGATGTTAGAAAAAAAATTCAAGCTGTTTTATAGACTGTGTTGAACTCCATTTTATTGTAGTTAGTACAGAACCCTATATGTGTCTTCAGAATCTAACTATTGGCACTTTTATTTTCATTTTTATCTCACACATTTATATTTTGATCTTTGATCCCCAACCATTCAGCCTTGCCTGGAAATTCATTTTTAAAAGGCCCTGTCCCGCAGAGCAGATATATGGCCTCCTGCAGCGTGAGGTTGTGGCCTTAACTATCCTATTGAAAAGGAAGTTTGGCCCAGCAAATACTCTGAATGCTGCTGCTTCTGCTTCTCAAAGGATATTTAATCTACAGTCTAAAGCACTCTACATGGCCTACTCTTCAGCATTTCAAATGGAACTGGAATTCCAGTGCATTGAGATCCTGACTTACAGCACGTTTAAGTAAACTTCTGGTTACAACAATAATCAGATTCAGAGTTTCAAAAATATATCTTAAGATTCTGGTTATTAAATCCAGGGCCAGATAGCTATTTGAAGTCACAAGCAGCATTCTGTGGAGGTAGTTGGCTCTGCAGCATTGTTACAAAGAATAATTTAACAACTCTTTCTTTTGTATTTAAAATGGAGCTTTGGTCTTGACTCTTTTGATTTTGTCTGTGCTTTGCACTGAATTATCTTGGCAATGCTTCTACTGTTCTCAAATTTATTAATTGTTTTGTCCAGCACTTAAAGACAGTCATTTTGTTTTTGGTTGGAGAAGGATTTCTTGGAGTATAAATTTTTGACCTCTGTAATCTACAAAAGTTTTTAGATCTCTTAAATAAAAGAATTATCAAAAGTTGTCTTTTTGGTAGCCTGTTGCACTGTAGTATTTTTATTCTCAGCATCTCGTGTGTGCCAAACTTAAAAATATTATATTACTGGCTGTTACAAAATTTAATGAGAGAATCTTTACTTGGAATAGTCTTGGATTACATTTTTTTCTGTCAGAATGTTTTTAGGTATAGTTGCCTGACCTTTTTACACTAGACCTGTAGTGACTTCATGTAATTTTATAGCTGAACTATTCCATTCTGTACTGGACTTTTTGAAAATGGTAAAGAAGTATGCACAAGAAAAGGATTTTTACATCAATAATTTACTGTTAAGGGGCAAAAAACCACAAGATTTACATATCAACTTTACAGCAATTTAAAACTGTCCAGTAGGTGTCACCATCTAATAAAAAATAATATGCTTTACTCTTTACTGCATATCTTAATCTTTAAAATATGGAGAGAAAATTTGTTTATGAGATTATTATTAATAAAACTCCACGTTGCACTTCCTTTTTCTTTTCAAAGGTAGCACCAGGAGAGCTGTGCATAGTTCAGATTTTTCCAGGATCTTCCTTGCCTCAAGATTTTATAAAGCATGATACATGAAAAGAGTTATCAGGTCAATTTTGCATGCTTGGCAGCAGAGGAGATAGCCCTTATTTAAAATAATGTAACTGAAAATAATTGACATTGCCTTTTAACATGTAAATATTTAGTTTTTATTTTATTTGTCAACAATAAATGACGCAAGGGAGGCTGTTTTGAAAATAGTAATTAGAGCGACTGTGATATCAAATGCCAGCTACATTTACAAAATCACTTATATCCAGCCACTTGTGCCTCAACCTCTCTAGCAGCAGAAACACATCTGCCCTAATTGTCGCAAAAAATAGATTTTCAGCTATAAAAATCATTCATTTGTTACTAAATGACATCCATCATCATGCTTTCAGTTGAGAAGGATAGTATTAATTATTACATGCTGTTTGTTGTGTAGTTGATGTAGTTATAGTTATAACCATAGTCGTATCTCTCAAAAGTATGTAGGTCCTTACAGCATGTGCACTTTGGGTGTACACATATTGCAGAGCAGCCAGTGAGGGAGTTCTCCTTAACTAGAACTTTCTGGCTAATTCTTGCCAGGAGTGTGACTGACACTTGGAGTACTTGAAGCAGCACTGGGACTTTGGCACCCATTTCTCCCACATCACACTTCTGACAAAGGCCAGTTGGATTTCTGACAATTTGGATACAGCTAGACACCCAGTGTGAAAATTCCTTGGGCACTTATCTTTCAGTTGAACCTCCTAGATGATTCCCCAAATGGCTATTCATGTCCACCGAAGCTTTTGAACATTTTCGCCTTAGGCTGTATCCTTTATATACAATTACCAGGCTTCTAGAAGCCTTAACATGCAGGAGCAGAAAAAAAATGTAATCTCATTTACTCAAAACTTCTATCAGACTTCATAGATAAATCAGAAGTAGTATAATACATTTTGATATTTTCCTACAATCTTAGTTTGCCTCATTCATAATGTCTTTTACTCACATATTGACTCTCTTATTCACCTCCCATCTCCCCCCCATATTCTCTCTTCCTCTTGTTTGTTCCATCTATTCTATCTCTTGCAAAATGTTTTATTATTTTGTTGTTGAAAACTGAAGAAAACAAATAATAAACTTCTATGATTTGTGTTTTGTACATCCAGAAATGTACATAAATCATATTACTAAGTCACAAAAATCGGAGTTAAATATTCAACAGTTATTCAGTACACTTCTAATTAACAGATCCTTCCCATTCTGAAGAAGATGGAATGTTTATTTCAGTATTTCACACACAAATTAATTCAGAAGATTATGACCACAATGAAAAGCATGCTGTACAGGGTAAGCCCTTATTACCGACCTATAATTATGTAATAAATTATGTAATGTATTTTGGAGTGAATGAGTAAAATCTTCCAAAAATCAAGGCTGAAAGGGAAGCATTGTGTGCCATATACATGTTGGAAAAAATAACATTCCCATGATGTATATAATATTGGAAGATTTACCCAACATTGCTCAGGTCCTTACATTTTGTTTTTTGGAAAATAAAATTCAAACGTAAATATTTCATTTGCATCATTGCTCTGAGATGGCATCTTGGGGCTAGCTGAAAGCGCCTCTTCATGGCTGCTGCAACTCCAGCAGGTAAAGACTGGGGAAGGGTGCATGTCTCTTTGCTGGGGCAGGTCCAGGTTTGTATGAGCTATGTCAATTGTGTGGCTTATGTCGAAGCTTATTTTAGCTTTTGGTGCTGTCTACACAGCAGGAAGTATGAGTTAGAGGTGGGCAAGAGGCTGCCAGTGGGCTGGATTTGGCCCGCCAAGCCACCAGATCTGTCCCGCAACCCCCTTGCCAGAACCCTCAGGCAGAGATCAGTTCATGTTTTAGAAAGCCAGCTGTTCTCTGCTCCGGTCTGCCTATGGAGGGAGGAGGGAGATGTTTCCTGCTGTTCCCGTCCCCCAGCAAAATCTCTTAACTGCTATTGGCCAATCTCTCAGTTTCCGGCCAATAGGAGCCAAGAGTTTTTGCTGGGAGAAGGGGCAGCATAGGAAGCCTTCTCCCTCCCTCCTCGTCCCCTCTCCTGCCTCTTATGCTCAGAGAGGAGCCACGTGGAGCAGTGAGCAGCCCGCAGCCAGAGCTTGCCTCTGGCACCCCAGTTGGCATCTGGCACTCCCTTCCCCAACCCTCTGCTCCCCCATACCCCAAACCTTCTGCCTCTTCCTGTACCCATACCCTCTCTCAGATCTGGCACCCCAATTTCCTTCCCCAGATCACAAGCCCCTCCTAGCCGAGGTCACATCCCAAAATCCTGCACCCCAGTCCTCTGTCGTAGGTCACAACCGCCTCCTTCACCCAAACTCCTTCCTAGATCCCATTCTCCCTCCTGCACCTCAGTCCCTCACCCCAAGCGCCCCTTTGCACCCAACCTCCATTCCAGAACCCACACCTCTCCATTAATATCCTGGAGGAGTGTGGCCCTTGACCACTTTCCAAAATTTTGGAGTGCCCCCCCAGATTATTACCCACCCCAGAGTTAAAGCATTCTTCCTCCGACTTCCTTTACTCCTTGTGAATAGAAATCCTCCAGCTTGATATTATTTCAACATGATGTTGAAATAATTGCTTGCTGTGTAGACGCGGACTATGTTATTTCAGAATAATATCAGTTTTCCAAAATAATGCTGCTTTGTAGACATAGCCAAAGATAATAGTTAATGCTTCTGAGATTGCTTCTGCTAGGTCTCTAGGCATCATAAGGTGAATTTCATCAGATGCTGCCAGCTTGAATATATCCCTGTTTTGATTTATGTTCCTTATCCCTTATTATTATTTATTAATACTAATTCATATGATTTTAATGGACAATGAAGCATATTTTATCTGTCTTGATGTTATCAGTTATTAGCTCTCTTTCCTTGATAAGTAGAGGACTGATTCTTTCATATATCTTTCTCTTGCGCTTAATGCCTTGTTGTCGAACCAGTTCTGAAGCAGTAGCCTCTATAATGGCTGCTGCTATAATGAACTAGTCTCACTCAACCAGCCAAATAGCCACATGTGGCTAGTGGCTAACATGTTGGACACCATGGTTAATGTATACAGAAAACCTGTTATTATTGAGCTTTATGTCTCTTGCTAGATGTAAGTCATTTTGTGCTTTAGCCCTTTTGATTGTATGCCTACATGCATGTGCTCTTTTGTATTCATCCTTACCTTTGTCCTTGTTTCACTTTTTGTAAAATTCCTTGTTGATTTTCAGGTAATTAAAGTGCTCATGACTGAGTCATATACTTAATATGAGGCACCATCTTCCCCTAGGTATTGCAATTATTAGACCTATGCTCTTAAATCTGACAGTTGATGCAAAGTGCAGTATTACCCATTCTCTAATGTACCTATTTTGGATCAATGTTCTCTTGCCCTATTTGGTGTCTTCAGACTTCATTAATCTCCTTCAGTTTTGTGGGGTTTTTTCAGTATTATTATGGTATAGACTGAACCTGTCTTGATGTTTGAGGCTCTCCTGACAAAGACCAATATCCTTGCTAGCTTTTTTAGATATTTCTGTTGTTTTGATACTGTTGCTCATGAGGTACTATTATAGCAGGCATCAGTCCAGGTAGATTGAATTATGTTTCAGTGCCTGAATTCCTCCCTCTCTGAGATTCCGGTGGGTGGCATTGGACAGTTGCTCTTCTAATCAAATGGTTCTTTTCAGCGGGTATACATGACCACTAGGGGAGTAGTGAAATATTTTAAGTTGGCGTTGCCACTAGTATGCCAATGACACTCAACGCTACCAACATATTAAGTGATTCAAAATAATCTGGTTTCTTGGTGACTGGCTAAGATGGGAAACTGGATGAGAGGGGTTTGGCTAGATTATTCACAATAGGAGAGATGAGGTATATGTGTGTATGGGAGGTGTGCTAAGGAGGAGGTGATATTTGCTGTTTCTAGTCAGGCTTCTTAATTGTGGATTGGGTTGTAATCTTGAGGTCTTTTGCATTCTTGGCTGATCCTGGATTCCCAAGTAGTAGGAGTAGTTGAGAAGATAGGCCCTATGCCAGCAAAGCAGAGAAGACTCTGCGGCTGTGTCTAGAGTGGCCAGTTTTTCCGGAAAATCAGCCGCTTTTCCGGAAAAACTTGCTAGCTATCTACACTGGCCGCTTGAATTTCTGCAAAAGCACTGACCTCCTACTGTAAGAAATCAGTGCTTCTTGTGGAAATACTATTCTGCTCCCGTTCAAGCAAAAGTCCCTTTTGCGCAAAGCTTTTGTGCAAAAGGGCCAGTGTAGCCAGCTCAGATTTGTTTTCCTCCAAAAAGTCCCGATAGCAAAAATGGCGATCGGGGCTTTTTTGCAGAAAAGCGTGTCTAGATTAGCACGGACGCTTTTCCGCAAAAAGTGCTTTTGCGGAAAAGCGTCCATGCCAATCTAGACGTTCTGTTTTGAAAATGCTTTTAACGGAAAACTTTTCCGTTAAAAGCATTTCCAGAAAATCATGCCAATCTAGACGCAGCCTGCTTGACTATAAGTACCTGAGTACTCATAGTTAGTGGAATGATTGATGTGCTTAATATTACATTTAAGCCATTTACATGCTGTTTTGGATTGGGACCATAGTCTCTTTCCTCTGGTATAGACATCAGATTACAATCTTCCTTGGTGTATTTATTCCCACAACTATCCATGTCTCTGTCACTTCTGTATTACATGTTCTAAGTGGGTTTACCCTTGAAGGTCATCCAGACTTTGGCTAGCACAGAATGCAGTGTTAAGCACTTATTATACTTGTACTTGTGGACTGCACTGACTTCAGTGTGCATGCAAAATATTCATTTTTATCCATAAAATCCTGCATACTTTGGTTCCTACTTAGCTTCAAGATAATGTCTTTCCTATGCTCTGTAATAGCTATTTAAATGATTTTGGATGCTTTTTCCTAATAGGCCCTAGATTTGAACTCTGGAGGATTGGAAGCAGGTTTTTCTTCACTGGGGAGGCCCTCCACTTGCATGTTCACCTCCTTCATTGCTACTTGCACAGTCAGTTTTTTGGACTTTAATGTTGCAAAATCTCTTCATATATTATGACTTTGGTGTGAAGAAGTGGGTAGAACTTATATGATCCAAGGAGCTTTCTTTTAATTATTTTTACTGCATATTCTTTAATTTGTAATTCTTTAAAATACAATATATGTGCTCCCAAGGAGTGTGATAGTCAGTCGTTTATAAATCCAATGATAAGTAAGCACATTCTAGGTTTAAAGCCAAATAATCCCCAAACCTGTGTCTAACCCCAGGATCAAAGGAAAAAAGAGACAACTGTGTTAAGTATGCAGGAGAACAGATTGATTTATAGAACATTAAATATGATTGCTTAGTTTTGCCACTTATAAATCTGCATCATTCCAATAGTTGTAAAAGAATTACCATTTTAAAATTATTAGAAGTCTCTGAATAGCACAGACCATATATTATTTTTAAGTGTTTTTTGAGAAACTGTTCACAAAATATTAAATCTGAATATAGCTTAAGGGTGATATAAATGTTCAGTCTCCTACTTTTTAAACAATCTTATTTGATTATAAGAATTTATCTTTAAATTTAATTTTCACACAATGTATTTAAGACTGTTACTAAGAAACCACATTTGTTTTATAACATGCACAGATTTAAGGTGAGTTTTGAAAGAAAAGTTGTTACAACAAAGGACTGTAGAACATCAAAGACCTCATCTGTTTTTCAGCTGTTTCATTTAAGAAATCTGCTAGAAATATTCCCAAATGCTTTCCCAAAAAAATCACTGCTTAATTTATCTAATACTGGTGGTATAGTTCAAACAATAAGAAGTTTAAAAAGAATTGATTTAAAATCATGTTAATGTGTCTAACATTTTTGAGGTCAGATGTCCATAAAAATATTTTGGCCTTCACAAAACTATAATCTTATATAAGAAATAACTTTGCTAAATGGTCACCCTGAAAAACTTGCATTTGCCACATTTAACTGTTGAAATGGTTATAACTAGAGTTTCTCATGGTAAATGTAGGTAATACTTCTAATATTATAAATACAATAAATAATAGTGAAAATAGTAATCACTGATTTTTTTTGTCTATTGGAGAGTCAACAATCACATTTTGCAACTATTTTTTCTTAACTACAGATCGTCTAAATGAAATCGAAACAAGTGGCTCATTGAAAATAACAGAAAAAATACACCAAAAAAGTGAAACTAGAAGTAAAAATACTCAAGATTTTATTAAAAAGAACATTGAGGTATGTGTTGAGGTCTAACATTACTAAAGGATTAGGGAATTACTGATGTATACTAAAAGCATTGCCAAAAAATTACGTAATGGTGTATAGGCAGTCCCCGAGTTACGCGGATCCGACTTATGTCGGATCCGCAGATACGAACGGGGATTTTCTCGCCCCGGAGGACTGGAGCGGCGGGACACCTGGTCCCGCCGCCCGCCTCCTCCGGGGCGAGAAAAGCTGCTCCCCCTCTCCCCGGTCTGCTGCGGGAGCCAGCAGACCAGGGAGACGGGG